AGAAGAGAATTATATTTTTTCCTTGAAACAATACAAAGACATATTTTTTATGCACCAATTTTATATACGTTGCTATCTCATTTTTTTTGGATGTTTTAAATTATTTATGTTATTTTACCAATAATTTCTTCTATATAATATTATTTACATTTATAAATTTATTTAACTATTTAAATTTAGAGTTCGTGTAATTTCTCTTACTTATAGTTTAACTTTTTCACAATTATTACTTTATAATATGAGCATATAATAGCTTAAACTTTTTTATATATCCACCCAAAACTTTCATATGAAAAGTATAGAAAGTATAATTCTAAATTCAAGAAAGAAAGTAGAAGTTATATTCAATTCACAGATTCACTAATCAATTAATATTTCGTAGAAAAAGTTACATTAAAAATTAAAAATAATGAATACACAAGAGAGCTCAAATACCAATTTTAATTTGTACAGAAACTTAATAAATTATGTAATTCAAACACTACAGAAATATGAAGAAGTTAAAAATGAATATCAATGATTTCATAAATCAATGTGTGGATGAGTTTTGATTTTCAATAAAGAATATGAAAAATTTGGACAATAAATAATAATATTGTGACTTTTATTCTTATAAATTAATAAAATAAATAAGAAAATAAGGAAAAAAAATTTTAAAAAATTATTATTTTGGCTGGTGCAACATTTTTTGTGTTGTCAACTTTAATCATGGGTTCATCATGAAATGTAATAAATATAAATGAATGTTGAGATTTATTTTTTTTGGAGAGTTACACCTTTCAATTTTTTAAATTAATTTAGTGGGAATTATCTTATACTTTAATTGACTAATTATATAAATATTTTTTAGATTTTTGAAAATTAGATTAAAAAAAAAGAAAAATCTCATAATTAATTAGGAGTGTTAAAGGGGTGATTTTATTTTTATTAAGCTATTTTATATGATATTTCATTAGACTACTCTATTTTAATAAAATTTCATTCTTCAAGGAGAAAATAAAATATTTGAGTGATAAATAATTAACCTTTAAATTTACAATAAATAACAGGAATAAATAGAGTAGTAAAGTTTGAGATATTTAAATTCTTACAATAAATAATAGAATAACGAAGGGAATAGTAATTGTCAACTTTTTTAATAGTAATAATAAATAGAAATATAGTGAAAATTACAACAATAAAAAAAAAGATAAATATTTCACAAGTTGATTCTGCATTGATGTCCAAAGGAATATGAAATCGTGAATGTGTTGTCCTACCATTTGGTAATAACAAAGCCGCTATTCTGGAAGTAGCAACTGGAAGAACTATTTTTGATTCTGATCTCAACTTGGAAATTATTGTATTCCATAAAAATATATTTTCGGTACCACCATGTCCATTTATAAAAAATAGGCGGACTTTTTCATTTACAACTGATGTTATTATTGCTTCATAAGCTATCTTTTGGCAATCATTTAAGAGAGCGAATGATTTATCATGTACTTCCTTTAAGCAACCTTTGTCATATTCTAGTTCCTCATTGATTAGGCGGTTCCCTGTGTCATTCAATTCATCAAAGTAGAATTTGGAAGTGGCATTCCATGTATGTCTTTCAAACTTTTTTCCATCTTCAGAATTATGGTTTCTATCTCAAATAATGTATATGATTCAAGTTGCTTTCAGTTAACTGTAAATCTTCCAATTGAAATCTCTTTCATTGTAATGATGTTATATTTTCTGTTAAAATTTCATAGTTGCTCCTCCAAAGTTTAGATGAATCAAGTGAATTAGTATTGTCACAAACTCATTTCCTGATGCCCAACATGCAGCTTCAGCCAAGCAGTCATTCCATTCTTTATCATCCTCCAATAATCCCAATGCGTAGCAAGCTTCCTTATAAGTATCATACCGGACTCCATTAATTGTTCTTATGCTTTCAAAGGAAGTGCTTCCTTTCACAAAATTAAGTAGCTTTCTCATGTAAAATCGTTCTCCACTTGCAGGATGTGCGAAGTAAATTCTACCAACTGACTTCTCCTTTTTTCTTCTAGTCCATCTTTTTCCCTGTTGCATCCCAGACCCAACGCGTAGGGAAATCTGAATATGTTAGGTCTCGCGCATCCTTATATTCTTTCTTTGCCTCAAACCATTCCGTGAATTTTATTTTTACTATATCAGGTTTATTTAGTATGCTTTCAGGACACCTTTCTTCTTGGAATACTATGGTGTTTTCTTCCTATAAATGGAATGGCAAACACTCAACTACTGGCTCTCTATGATGTATGTCAAATTTAAAGATCCTCCAGCAAGCTTCTGTAGCTGATATGTATCTACAATCTAGATATCTTTTGATCTCATCACGTTCTGTGGCAGTATCTGAACATTCTATACATTCTTGAAAGTTGGAGTAATGTCCCCAACCTTGATAATGGGTAAATCACTACCATTGACAATATGTATTTGTGATGGACCTTGATACTTACAAACATTTTTTAGGATGCTCGTTGAGTTGGTCATATGATTGGAAGCACCTGAATCAACAATCCAAAAATTAGATGTAACATTATTACCTTGTAATCCCAATACTGAAAGGCTGACATGATCATTTGTTGTACCATTTCAGGAGTAAGAACTTGTCCTGAAGATGCGTTATCAATAGTGGAACCATTTATCCCAGCGTGAAAAATATTGACCCTACGATTTTGAGGGTGTGTGGGACACTCTTTGATAATGTATCCTTGTTGTTTACAATAATTATGGAACTTCTTGTTACAATTGCTAGCAATATGACCATATTCCTTGCAACTGTAGCATTGAGTTCTAGTCATATCCCTGCCATTTCCTTTACATTAAGCAGCAAATGCAATAGTGACGTCATTTTCTGTCTTGAAAGCGTTTTGTGTGACAAGACGTTACTCTACGCGAAGTAATTCCCTAAATCAAACATCCAAAGAGGGAGACGAGTCACGATTTATCAAGTTAGAGCGAACACTCTCAAAGTCGGAACGTAATTTCATCAAAATTGGTCTCGCTTGCTTTACTCATGAACTGCTTGAATCACAGATAGAGATTCAGTAAGTATTTGGCATATACAATATCTGTAAATTCAGCCCATAAGTTTTGAAATCCAGAAAAATAATCCTAAACAGAAAGACCTCATTGAGAGTAATTAGCAATTTTGTACTCTAACTGAAAGCATCTTGCGCAATTATCTTGGTTGTAAACCTTTTGTAAATAATCCCACATGGCCTTAGCTGTCTTGTACGGCCCGAGATTAAGAACAATTAGAGGACCAATCGACCCTAAAATCTATGTCATCACTCGAGCATCTTTAATCTTCCATTCACCTAGCTTTGTCAGATCAGTAGGAGTAAAATTGCTTCCATCTATATGGCCCCATAGTTCTTTGCCGGTGACAAATAACTAAAATTGAAACTCCCAAGAATAATATTTTTTTCCAGTGAAACGAACACTAAAGGATTCAAAGTGATGTGAATTCATGCATTTGAATAGCTATGAAAACTACAAAGACTCAAGAAAGCAACTAGAATGACCAAGAACAAAAGTCCTTGGTAGTAGGACTGGTTGTCGACGAACAATCAACCAAAAACCAAGATTTTCAATTTTTTTTTAGAAGAAACCACAGATGACTCTATGAAACAAGACAACCAAGAGAAGGCTCTAATACCATGTTAATTTTCTGTTGATGCCTCTCAAAGTGAGAGAGTCTTTCCATTATATAGAGAGTATAAAGATTACACATATCTAAAGATCTCTCATCTCTATCCCTAAAGATCAGCTATTCTATCTCTATAAATCTGCTTTTCAATCCCTCTAAATCTGCTTTGTTATCCCTCCAAAACACATATTCTATCACAATATTTATTTATCTGATTCTACAACAAATCTATATGATAATACTAATTTATAGCACTATATAATTACATTAATATATACAATTATTTAGATGTCTATCATGCCAACAACCCAGTGGCGGAGCCAGAATTTTCGTCAAGGGTGTTCATACTTTAGGACAAGTAAAAAATAAACCTTGTTGGTCAGATTATAAAGATTGACTATAAAATAGTCATACCTGAATTATTAATTTCTACATAGTGCTCCAAGTTGTTCATACTCTTTACCTGTTCAATATAAAATTAACCAACTATCCAAAATGAAAATTCTTAAAACGAAAACTTACAAAATATCAATGGATAAACTAACGAAGATGAAGTAGGAAAATATATTGACGGATAGTTTCATACACACCAAAATATGTAAAGTGGTAACTACAATTGCACTCGACGACACTTCATCTCTTGAAATGTTTCATAATACACTCATTAGAAACATCTTTAAATATTTTCTCTACATAAGGCACTATGCAACCATCTAAGAATTCATCATCCATTCGATTTTGCAAGTCATTCTTGATAATCTTCATTGCCGAAAAATCTCTTTGAACTGTAGCAGTGACAACAGGTAGAAGCAAAGCAAACTTCACTCAAAGAATTACGAGAGAATAGTTTAAATGCTTCTTTGTCTCAACCAACTTTCTTCAAAGTTCCCAAAGTCCACCCAAATTGGAGAACCTTTCATCAATATCACGAACATCAATAATGTAATTAACAAGTTGATTCTCAAGAGCTCTCATGTTGGACCTATCAAAGTCATCAGGATATAATTCAGCCATGCACATTATCTTATTTATGTCAAAACTAGAAAATGAATCAATTGGATTCAAGCAAGATACTCAATTAAGAAAATCACTTGTCACCTCATTGAAATGGTCATTAAGTTCTTGTAGCTGCCAATCAATGATTTTATAACACACATCCATACGATAATGGTGCAAAGTAGTACAAATAACTACTTTACGTCGTGATCTCCCAACATTAGCATATGGATCATCAAAATTAGGTAATGAAATGCCATGCTTAATACAAAATGCTTCTACTTTTATCTAAGTGAATCCCATCCAATATTTTTTTTTAAGAGAGGATCCCATTCATTATCTCTTAAACAAGAATCATAACATTTGGAATATCTTGCTCCTTTTTCTGTAATGAAACATTAAAATCATTTGTGATTCCTAAAACATCAGTCATCAAATGCAACAAAAAAATAATCTCAAACGTTTGACAACTTATGAGAAATCCCGATGCGCTTGCTCTTTCTTCCAAAGTAGTTGCATTTACAACAAGAGTATCAAGTACATCAACAATAGAGTCAAAGCTACTAATAAAGTTTCCAAATGACTTGTAGTGAGATCCCCAATGAGTATCACCATCTTTAACAAGACCAAGTTCTTGATTCAACCCTATACCCGTTTCTAGTTCACCCATATCCACTGCCATTCGGAGATACATTTTTTGAGATTCTCGAAAATTATCCACACGTTTAAAAGAAGCTCCCAACACATTCAAAATATTTGAAATTAATAATACAAGTTCACCAACTTGAACATGCTTTTTAGAAACCGTAACAAGAGTCAATTGAAGTTGATGAGCAAAACAATGAACAGAATGAGCCGATCTACTTTCTTGTCTAATCAACGTTTTAAGACCACTTAACTCACCTTGCATATTGCATGCCCCATTATAACATTGCCCACGTACATTAGATAAAGTCAAAGAATGGTGAGGAAGCACATCTACAATTGCTTCCTTTTGAGATAAAACACTAGTATCTTTAATACGAACAAGTCCAATAAATGCCTCCATCACAAACCCCTTTTTGTCAACATATCTTAGACAAATAGCCATTTTCTCTTTGCCTGACACGTCTCTAGATTCATCAACCAATAAAACAAAGTAGTCATTATTTATATCCTCTATTATATCCTTAACTATTTCAATCTTACACGTAGTCATAATATCTTTTTGCATGTCATGAGAAGTCATTTTATTATTTTTTGGAGCTTATTCTTGTCATGCCTCGAGCCTACACCCTGGGAGGGACTGGCACTCGAGAACCATTGTTGGCCCCAAGCGAACCCTTGGCCTGACTTACTTACTCAGCGAAAGACTTAACTCATGAAGAAAAATACTTTTAAAGTAAACCAAACTACTCAATAAACATTTAGAATGTATAAAGATAACATTCACTGGCCAAAAGTGGCAACTCAAGTCTCAACCATTAAAACAGGAAATATAAACTCAATAACTAACATTTGACTATCTATGAAGGCTCTAAAACAATTGAGATGGATGTCGGGACAAACCCCACGACATCCTAATGAACTAATAAAATAACTTAAAGCAATAAAATGAGTCCTCTGAAATGCAAGGAGGCTCACCAATTGACTCTAGAGTGCTTACTGGATCAACGATGCGCTGGATGCCGATCCTAGTTACCTGTGTCTGCATCATAATAAGATGAAGGCCAATTGGCATCAGTACATTGAATGTACGAGTATGCGAGTTGGAATGCTAAATACAACATAGGCTTGAAAAGAATCTGAAGAACTTACCTGGCTCAACTCATTTCAATATAAAGCAGTTTAAAACAAGTGCAATATAAAGAAAAGCTATTCAAAACATGATGTCAACTCTGTGTGTATGCAAAAATACAATAAACTATGTATATAAGAATACAATTACTTATGTGGAAGTTTCTCTAACCGACAACCATCACGTAAGAGCTATTGTGATGATTTTTACCTCACGCTGCCAGTGCCATCCTATACATTGCCGAGGGTATAAAACATGAACTACTAAGTGGATCCACTAGTCTATGCGAAAA